GTCAGCTGCCCTGGCCATGTCCCCTCCCAACTTCTTGTGCCCCTCCAGCCTTCTTGGTGGCTGGGCATGAGAAGCTGAAAAATCCTTGACTGAGTCTAAACACTACTGAGCGACAACTGAATACACCAGTGTGTTATCAACATTCTTCTCACACTGAACCCAAAACATAGCATTGTACCAGCTACTAGAAAGAAAATTAACTCTATCCCAGCCAAAACCAGGACACATGTTCACATAGGTGTGGCGTGTGGAGATTTGTTTGCCAGTCAAATAAATGTTAATTGACTATTAACAAAAGTCAGTGTTAATAGTCATCAGAGGGAATACCCTTTCTTTTGAGCATATGAGAAAAATGGTAATACTCATCACAATAATATAACATCTGGATATTGAATGGATATGACATTCATTAATTAATTTCAGTGAGTGAAGAACTATCATTTAATCTGGTGATGCCATACAGTAGAACTGTTTCATTACTGCATATGTTGATGGAACAGATCCAGCTATTCTGGTACATTGCAAAAGCAGAAAGCTTTTCATTATTTTTTATACTCTGATCCTGCTACTCCATTAAATCAGTTTGTCTAGTCTTAGACCAGTAGCACTATTGTAACTTCCATTCAGTCAGTCTATTTCTTTAGATATGAAAAAATGTCTTAACTATAAAGCCAAATGTAAAATTAGGATAGATACAGCTTCAGATACTCATGCAGAGGTGGCTGCAGGAAGGAGTTTGATTCTGAAAGGTTTTCTTGTTCGTGCACAGACCAAACTGTCACAGATTTGTGAACACTGTCACTCAATCAGAACTGAATCCACTGACAAGAAGAGTCACACAAACAATAAGAAGAATACAATTTCCTTAGAAATAGAGATAACATTTTCAAAGTTCATAGTATAATTCTGTTTAACTTAGATAGCTAGTCATAGGCTTTGTATTACATCATGTAATAATATTGGGTTCACTTGTCATTTGGATTATATTTATTTTTTAATTACAGATTTTCACCAAGATAAATTTGCAGTAGGCTATGGAAGAAGTCTTGTGAATTTCCTCATATCAGATTCTGACTAGTAGTTATATAAGTATATTAGATTAGATAGACTCCTTTAATTTATGTTTAAACCCTCAGCCCCTGTGTTCTCAGAACTGCTTCTTGTGAGTCCTACGCCATCTTAAGATCACAAATGCTGCTCTAATACTAATGTGAAGGATCAGTACATTTCTTGTACTTCTTCTTTTATATGAACTCTGAGCTGTATATAATGGCCAACAGTTCACTTACTGCTTACATGCAATGGGAAATACAGCCATATCAGTGAAACCTTTCTTTTATTTTGCAGGTTTTCTAGTAGTCCTCTGTAGTCATCAAGAAATACAGAACAGATGTATTCCTTGACAATTCCCATTGATCCTGGTCCCCTCACTATCCAGGTCAGAGATCTATGACAGAGCATACTGTGGCTCCTTCTAGCCCACAAAACCATGCTTCCTTTCTATGGAAAATAGGGTGCATGGCTGGAGGGCTGATATATGTCTAAGTTTTGCCACAACATAAAATCAGGGTCTGGTAAAAGCATACACTAACATCCAGGAAGTACATCTAAGTCCTGTAGTTTAAAATTCACTTTTTGAACCCAGAATCCATGCAAAAGTAAGTGCATATTATCCGTGTCAGAAGTATGACAAAGCATTCCATACTTCACTGAAGACTAGAATTGTATTGTTTTATTCTGAGACCATCTTTAGCCTTCCTGGGAAAGATCATGGCAGAAGGAGTGGCCAGCCTTGAAAGTCACCCCCATCAAGCTCAAATTGCATTTCTCTGTGGAAAGCTCTGGCTTTCCAGGTAGGCTGCAGATCTTGTCATTGTCATGAGAAGGGAGTAATGGCAAAGCATCCACTCTTTGGAGAATTGTCTTATGTATGAATCCAGTCCAAAAAGACTGATTTCTTTGTGTGAAACATTCACATAAACCAGTGTGAAGTTTCCAGCTATTAATCATTTTGTCTCGAGTTTGAGCAGCTTTGTCCTCAGGTACAGGCTTCTGAAACTTTTTATTCTCAAACACACCAAAGTGACAGGTTCCCTTTTGCCTATTTCACTTGCAATAGCAAATCCTACCCACTTTCCCGTATAGCAGCAGTATTACTTTTATCATTGTGTACTCCTAGACATTGTTTTTCAGACTCTGTGATGGATGGCATAAGAGGCTGCAGAAAGGAAGGAAAAAGGAGCTGGGAGGGTACAGAGGTGCGACCCCTCAGGGCCTCCTGCAGGCAGCCCCAGGCAGGTGGTGAGGGGGCAGCAAGCCAGACAACCCTTGGAGGTGACCAAAATCCATTCCACTGCCCAGAAAGGACAGGCAGAGATGGCTGCACCTCAGGAAGTTGCTGTTAGCCACAGCCTGCCCACGTGGACAGAGGAACCCATTTTGTTGATTAAATGTTACCATCACAGTCCTTGTCACACTCATTATCTTTGACCAACTACAAATAATTATACTTGATTACTGTCTGTCCACATCCCTGGTTACGGAGACGCTATATCCCAAATGCTATGTTTTACAGAAGCAGTAGTTAGCCTGTGATAACAGATACAACATAACAGATATAGCTCAGGTTGATTTTTTCAGAAGTCATTCCCAGTTCTTTGCTGCCACTGGTCTTGTTCTGCAGACTTCAGGGAGTAAATCTTACTATTGAGTCTTGGGGAGTCTCTACCACTTTTTGACAAAATTTCCATTTCCATCCTCCTCTGAACATATTTCTCTGTACAATTCCATCAAATCATTTCTGCAATCTCTCCAGCAGGTCAGAAAAAAACAGTAAAATGTTACATGCTTAGAACTTGATTTCAAGCAGCAAGGTAGTCTGGGGAAAGGAAGTGGCTTGCAACTATTACCTTGTACAGTGAAAATCCCTTAGGTGCTGTTCTCCTCTTTATCTTACAGCTTGCGGACAGAGCCTAAGTAAAAATTTACAGAGCATTGCAGAGTTTAAGGTCTCTGCCCACCTATGTTTGGGCCATGATAGATGGAGCACATAGTACTCTCTAAAACTTTGAACTGAAGCGTACTAATACCTGTATAAAACAAGCATTGCTGTTTACATAACGTTTAATGAACATATCCAGAATCTTTTCTTCAATTGTTGTCCTGTCTTTACCTGGACTGAAGTGCAGAAACAGAGTCTTATATTGATTTTGTATTTAACAGGCAAGATCACAAACATTGGGCCATACCTATGAGTCAGTGTGATCTTAGGATAGTGCAAAATCAGGTGGTTTCTTTTTTTTTCTAATTCTTAGATTGATTTTTAGCTGGTTGCTAGCTTGTGTTGAAAGACTTGGTCTCTTTGGGCAGAAATGTACACACTTTAGCCAGCAGCTTCATTACTAAATAAATTCAAGTCTTGTATTCTGCAAGTTTGCGTACCCTGGCCAAGTTAAAAGTTATATGACCCCTCTACACATGGAAGTCCCTGGAAATTGCACATATAACAAGGCTATAGAATAGAAATTAGTTTTTCATGACACACTCAATGTTTGTGAAATGTCCATAAAGTAGTATGAAAACTCCTCTGTATGTGTTGGAGTTCTCTATTTCCTTACAAATCTGAGTATTAACCTATTATATTTTTCAAGTTGAAGCAAGCCTAATTGCCAAAAAAATAATCCATCACTTTAACAAGTTGGCCTTCTGTCAGAAGAAAATAGATATTTTCTGAAATTTCTAAAAAAAAAAAGTATGTTTAAAATCCAGTAACCTGTTCAAAGTTACAACATTTCAAGTAAGTGGGGGAAATCTGATACTTATAGAGGTTGTTAGATGGTATATTAATCATCATCTCCATCCGTAAGTTTACATGTACACTGTGTCTTGCTATTTCAGTTTAAATAGATGCTTCTAGCTGTTTCAAAACTTGGTAATAGGCTGTAGAACAAATCAACACTTCCTCTTACTATAGTTTCTCAAACTATTTCCACTGTTTGAAGTGAGCATTAAATCCAACTATTTTAGATATTGGTCCTTGTTGCCTTCCTTCTCCTCCTTCACTTAACAGAATCATTAGGTTATTTCTGTGTGTTTGTTTTTTAATTTGGTATTCTTAGCCATCTTGTATGCCTACTGGGGGAATACTGATATACCTGCTGCCCTATGCTAATGTGACTTTGTTACGCCACGACTGAAGTTGACTCAGCATGTTTTATATAAAACTGCTTGTTTTATATAAAAAATATCTGTATGTTGCTCAGAAGAGGTTAAGAGTCCAATAGAATCTAACTGAAACCTGTTCTTCTGGTTATATCTCTTCTGCAAACCAGGTTGTTTCCTTCTTAACAGGCTGGAAGCACCCTTTGAATAACTTATACGCACTCTAATATTACTGCATGGTATAATAAATGTATGTGGTGCCCTATGTGTATCACAGTTGGATTGTTAAGCGTATGCCAAGGACGTTTCTGCTCCTATGTCAGTTTGGAGACAAATCCTGCTGCAATGAAGTAAAGCTAGCCTTAAGGCACCATATGAAATATTACAGATTACTGATTTATCAAGTGACAGTAACTAATGACAGGGAATAAGCTCTCTCTTCTTCTAAGTCATCCCCTCATGTAAAAGTATCGTCAGTGACCTGCCTATCAAAGCAGCACTTCGTTTTTGCACAGCAATCGATGTGGCTGGTCTCCATACCACAGCAGCTGGGCTGCAGTGGTATCTCCCAGTGATCTCTGCACACCATAGTTCTCAGGGATCTCTGCGAGAGTCAGGAATTCTCAGCAGATGCCCAGGATCAACTGCTAGGAGAGTAACAGGGGACTTTTGCAGAGAGTGTTTCTCCTTATAGAGTGTGAAAGGGAATTTCATGTACGACCACATTGCAGCTACCTGGAAAGAGAAATTAAGTTCAACAGCAGTGAAAGCAGTTGAACCATGCTAGAAATTTACAGACTTTAAAGAAAAAGTTAATTTTTATTTTCTTTTACCCACAGGTCTACCCACGGATAGCGCCGGCATTTTGGCACTACCTGAGGGTAGAAGTGAGTAGCGGGTGTTTGAATACTCCCACATCTTTACCTTACAGCTTACTAGTATTTACTGACCTCCTAGTTTGTCCATTGTGCAAAAATACTTAGCTACCATTCTAGCTGCCATTTTCTGTGAATGTAGTCTTGTACTAATTCCATATTGTTTTGACTACAGTGTAATTACTAACCCAAGTCACAAAGATGTGATGTGTTTATATGCAAGATTAAAGAAAAAAATTGAAATCTAAGTCAAGGCCATATCATACATTATGACTAGAGCACAAAATCAAAGTACAGAAATCCATACCTGCACTTCCTTTTATAAACACATTTTACATTCATGAGAAGAATATGGAGCTTCAGTTCTGCTATATCATTTTTGCAAACTTTGTACAACTCAACTTGATATCGTTTCTCCCCTCTTTTGTCCCTCAGGAGCATGAGCAGCTCAGCTATTCCTCCACAAGGTCCAAGGCTCCAAGTGTTATCATCACAGGTCTCAAGCCAGCCACCAAGTATATATTTCATATCAGAGTCAGGACGGCAGCAGGATACAGCGGCTATAGCCAGAAGTTTGAATTTGAAACTGGAGATGAAAGTAAGTTTCACTGAAGGAAAAATAATCAGATACAATAGAAGTAGCATCTAATTCTAAAACAGTGAGACATTGGGAGTTTAAATGGCTGAATCCATACCATTTGCTTATCACAAAATGACCACTGCTATATGATAAAAAACAAGTAAGCTTCAGCCTCACACTTCTGGATTTGTAACAACAAAGAGAAATTTTAGCCCATCACTGCAGCTGAAGGAATGTTTTCTTCTGCAAAATTTCTTTATGGGTCCCTTCCAACTTGAGATATTCTGTGATTCTATGATCCTTTCTTTGCTTAAAGAAGGCCTTCCTTTTGACATCTGGAAATACCCTTAGTCAGCCTTTACTAAGTCCAGCAGCTTCATGCAATCTCCCAGAACACCGTGATGGAGTCTTTTCTCGGTAGTTGTTAGTGCTTCCAGACTCTACAAATGAAAAAAATAAAGAAAAATTTAACAAATAGAAAACTTTTATATGCATTTCTGTCAACCAGTAAGCCTACTAAATTTGCCAGTAAGAAGCAAAAAGCCTTCATATTCCTACAGAATATGCAAAAAAAAGCTTGATGCTATGTGTGATGTTCATGCTCTGAACAATTTTATATTTCAGTCATGTATCACCCTCCATGTTCAAAGAAACTGCAAACAAGGTATTTACAAGCATTTCAGATAAAATTAGTGTCGTAGATACAACACTAAAACACTCATTAATGAAATTACTTTAATTAACCAATTATGTATACCATGTTTTTCATTAGTGTTTTAGAATTCAAGTTGCTTAAGCTGAAGTACAGACTCAAAACTATGTAAGTATTTTCAAGAGCACCCATGGGTTTGTGTACCATTTTCATTGCTTCTTAACTTCTAATTCAAAAATGTTTTAGGGATAGATTTCCAAGTGCTTAATGCCTAATTAGACTTTTTTAAATTTTCTGGGTACTTAAGCCAATTGGTTTGAATAGGAGTTGAACACTTGGGTGCTTTAAAGAATTCCGGTAGATCCCGTCTACATCTTCTGATGCAATAAATACTAGGCTTTAGGCACCCAGGGACATAACTTTTACCAAAAGTAAATGGTATTTAAACCTCTATGAGCCTGTCATGTTTGTGGAAATGTGACTTACTCATCTAAATCAGGAAGACTGTGGTTCCAGTGACATTTTTCTCATTGGCAATGCTGATAGAAACATCTCCTGGCAGTGAGATTCCACCCATTCCTTCCCAGCCTCAAGTCTCCTTCTCAGTTGCACTAATGCAACTGGCTCTTGGGCTGCATGGTGAGTTAGAGCTCACAACACTCTTAAACATTTATTACCTCTATTACTTCTAAGTACTCAGTATGAATCTTGATGGTGAAACATAAATGCACATTATATATTTGCTGTTTACCAATGTTTATTGCTTAAGCTTGTCCCTGACTAAAAGTATTTGATTTGTTATAAATTGTGTGATTGAAAGAAAATGCAGACAGAAGAGTTTTTGTTTATGATCAATTGAGATGGAGGTTGAGAGAAATTCTTCCGCTGTTTGAAATGGTACCTGGAGCTAGATAAAGACTTCAGTTTAATTAAAAGGGTAGTTCAAAGGCCTGTGGTCTTATTCAAATATTTATGCAGTACTGCTTTAGATTTCAAAGGGGAAAAAAAGTAAAGTAAGTGCCTGTTGGTAAATATTACTTATTTCAGATTGAAGCAGGACTTACTGACCAGTCAAATGATGCCTTGTTACTCTCCAGATATCTTACTTCCTCACAGTAGTATCTTGAAAATTGGCCTATTCTAAACTTTAAGGCAATATCAGTTGATTATGATCATTCATTTGTACCCCTTTCATAACACAAGCCAAATGTCTAACTCAGTAACTTTTCCAGACAGCTAATGATAGTAGATTGAAATGTAATATCTACCATATACAAATAGTCTTGATTTAAAGTCTTCCAGTAGTGGGGAGCTCACCATATTTATAGGTAGATAGTGCCAGTGCTTAAGCCTCATAATTAAAAATTTGCACCTTATTTCTAGGCTGAATTTTTTTATTTAGCTTCTACCTTCAGACACTTTTCTGCCAAATTAAAAAGCCAAATACTACCAGAAATCTCTTCCTCATCTAAATGTGTGTATGCCATTTTTAAGAATTCTCTTGTCTTTCCCATAAGTGATATAAATGCTTTCTCTCACTCTAAAAAAAAAAAAAAAAAAATATTTTCCAAACATGGAATAATTTTATAGCTCTCCAAAATCTTAACATCCTTTTTGAATTATGACATCAGAGCTGAACTTGATACTAAATTAAACTGGAAAACTAAATCTGTTTATGATGCCATAAACAGACCTAACACCACTTACCTCTTTATAATTCAGTTTTCTTTTACTTATAGGTCTAAGCACTTGCTGCCTGAACTAGGGCATTGTCTTACACAGCTGAATAACTAGAACATAGCAACATTTTTGTCAGTACAGTTGTATTCCAAGATACTGACCTACATTTAGATGGAGGGATTGGGGAGTGTTGTGTTGAGACTTGGACTGCATAGTTATATCAGTACAAGTAAATGTTGTCTCCCTTGCTGGCATGCATCTATCTTACAAACCAGTCCAGGTCAAGCCGTGTAGGAATCTATCTTCATTATTTACTACTTTGACAGTATGCAGCTCAGCTGAAAATTTTCTGTTTTTTTAATATATATTCTTCTCAATTATTCTGAAAGATACCAAATAATATTAGACCAAGGCAGATTATTGCAGCTCCCTCCATCCCTACCCATTAGAAATAAATTACTTGGTGAAAATTCCACATTTGCAGTTACTTTTTGTGGTCTTTCAGTTAGCCAGATTTTAATTAATTTAATGTGAGCTATACTGATTTTATATAAAGTTAACGGTTTCATGAGAAGGCTGGGAAGAATAGTGTTTTAAAGTCTGTGCTGTCAACAGAAAATTTATCAACCAACAATCTCATAAAAATGACAAAGAATAAGTCAAGTGTTTGATAAAAATCCTTCTCAATTGGCAATAGCTTGTAATATCCTTCAGCTCTCTACTGATTATACATGTTATAGTCTTAGCATCTAGAGAAGAATTCCAGGACCAGTTACAGGTGAACATCCAAAGTTATTCCATTTACCCTGCTTCAGTATTGACATAATTTGTTAATAAACAGTGGTAAAGTGAGGAATCCAAAATTAGGATTTTTCTTTAAAGTGATAGACAAGTTGTAAAAAAGTAACGGTTCATCAACTGTGAGACGTGTATATCAGTGTCCTAAAACATACTGTCCTTGGCAGGACAGTGCTGTCATGCTTTCTCCAGTTTACTGGTTGAAACACTATCTGTGCCACTTCAGTTATATAGGATAAAATTAGATACATCTTCACTAGGAACACTAAGACATTTTGGTATAATTATTAATGGTGGTGCATGAGGCAGAAAAAAGACCAACTCTGTAGCAGTAATGAAAAAAGTTAGTTAATCATGCAATGCTGATCTGATTTTTGAGAAGCACCCTCACTTACCAACTAGCAGACTGAGGCAGCCATTGCTTGGGGAGCATGTTGCTGTTGAACTCTTGTCCCTGCTGCAGAGACCAATAAATAGAACATCTAATAGAGTAAAATTTGTACTTTCTTTCTGAAAGGAGATGGAGTTACCTGGAGAAGTCAGAAAAATTCTCTTCAAGGAAGCAGGGGTGGATGAATGGATGTTGTAAGGCATTTCTTCCACTGTTAAAGCTAAGAGGCTGCTGCTGGGAAATGTAATACCTTTGCAAAACATAGTAAATACTGCTTTTGGTGGTGTTCCTTATTGCCATTTTATTCAGTCTCCCCGTTTCACTACCTTACAGGAAAAACACTTCTAGCAAAGCTGACAGGGATTCATACACTCCAGCACACACATGTGTACTGCTGCTGTGGCTATAAATTGAAGCATAACCTCACTTGTAGTTCCTGCTTTTATGTGTAGGATCATAGAATAGTTTGGGTTGGAAGGGACCTTTAAATGTCATCTCGTCCGACAAGATCTGGTTGCTCAAAGCCCTGTCCAACCTGACCTTAAATGTTCCTAGGGATGGGGCATCTACCACCTCTCTGGGCAACCCATTCTGGTGTTTCACCATTCTCATTGTAAAAAATTCCTTCCTTATATCTAGTCTAACTCTACCCTCTTTTATTTTAAAACCATTACCCCTAGTATAGATACCTCCTGATTGTATCAGAAGTACCTGGTATGAGGAGTACCAGCTATCTGAGTCACCACAAAAAACTCTGGTCCTTCCTAGGATAGAATAAAATGTATTCTGAGAACAAAAAAAAAATCATTTGTCCCAGAGCAAACATACTTTAATCTCTAACTGTTTTCTCTCTCCCTCTCTATTTTTCTCTTTCTGCCTTCTAACTAGCTTTTTATGGAAGCCTTTGGTTTTTGTTTTTAATTAATGATTCAAAGCATTCTTTTTTTCTGGAGGAATGTTTTTTACTGTATCACCTCAGAGGCCCTCGTGCCTAAAGGAATTTGTAAAATATTGAACAATTTACAGCTGTTAGGCAGTACAGTGTTTTCATGCTGTTGCTTTCTTGTGCAGGGCTTGTTCTAAAACCAAGGGTATTTTCCATGTCAGCCTTCCCATCGTTAGGAAGAAAAAATCTGAAAGGGAACTAGTTGGCTTGTTCCAGGAGGAACCTAAAGGGCAAACTAGCGTGTGTGCAGTGTGGACTAGTGGTTGGGCCAAACAGAGTGATAAATGTAAGCACATGATGATTTTTAATCCAAAAGAAATGCAGGCTTTTGTATGCCTCAAATAAATTGTATTAACAATAAAAAATTAAAATTTTTAGAAATGCTAATAGAATACCTGATTAGGTATTTTATACATTTGAGGACTGTGAAAAATTTATTGGCCTGAAACCCTGATCCTGATGAAACAATAACTTTAATTCCTTTACTGTAGGCAGAGATGGTGACTTTCTTGTATTGCCAGATCTGCTGAATTCTCACATTCTTCCTCCTC